AGTTGCATTTAAATGCAAGGAGGGAGAACCTGGATTCGTTTTAACTGCGGAGAAGCTTTAACCCTTTGGCCGAGTTGCTCCCTAGTTAAAAGGCAGGTAATAACCTTGTAAGGTTATTTAATTTGAAGCTGACAAATTCTTATTGAATCACTATACTGTTGATAAAAGGCAGTTTTCTTTTCTTTCCCTGTTTGGCCCCAGACACAACCTACAACAACCTGTAAAGCAGAACCAAGTATTACTGAATGATCAAACTTGGAAATCTAATTTTTTTTTATTTGGCAATCGTTCACTTTATTATATATACATATTTAAAGTCTGTACATAGTAAAATACAAAATAAAAGTGTTTCTTTATAAGTTACACAATTAAACAGCTACATTTGTCTGTAGTTTAGCCATCATTTAATTAAAAAAAGGAGAGAAATCTTGCTGAGCCATCGTTATATTCATTCACAATAACCTTGGTATAAAACATCCATACAGAGTAAGTGTACAAAATAGTGTACAGTTTATATAAGCTGTGCAAAGACAGCAAAGTTCAGTCAAAAATCAAAGAGGCATATCCACTTTCCTCTGTCCACATCATGGATAGCAGAAGCAAAGTGGAAAATAAGAGCAGGCCTGTGGGCAAAAAGATGGGTTAGACAGTGCTTCCAATATAATGTCGATGCATAAATTAAAATGAAAAACATATAAATATATAAGGTCTCCATTACACAAGGCACACTGACATTATACCTTAGAAGTCATTCCAGGGATTTCAATGGGTCTGTGGCACAAGTATTGTGCTATTTGGGGTGAGGAGGCGGGCAGCATTTAATGGTTAATGTCCCTTAATGGTATTTACTTTTGGAAGAAAAGGGTTGCTAGATCAGACCAGTCTTCAGGGGTTTGAAACCTTAATAGTAGCTGGAAATTCACTTGAAAAGTAGTAAAAACGGCCACAGCATCTATATTGTATTTTTTTTTTGTTGTTTCTTACCTGGGGAGAAAAGTTTCCCTTCCAACAGGCTGTACTTTCCTCCCAGCTATAAAGCAAGCAGCTGCCTGTTGCTTGCTTTCAGGAGAAGGTAGCTCATTGAGAAAAATGTTGATTTTCTCAATGAAAATGTTGCAGAGCGAGTTATGAAAAGGTTAGCAGATGCTATGAATGTGAAAACCTCCACATGGGGCAAAGAATAAGGGATACCTATAAGCAGAAAGTCTTGCAGCTGTGTGATAAAGAACCTGCACTGGAGAAGCACGTGGACATTTGGGTGGGACATCACCTCTTCAATTTATAGCACTCTGTTTTATTTACATCCTTGCAATGTCCCCATGTGATGGTAGGGGCAGGCAGGTGATCTAAGAGACTGTTATCTCCTCCTCTTCCTCTTCCCCTTCATCCTCCTCTTCCTCTGAGTCTGAGAAGTCTGAAGGTTTGCTGGGGCTGCTAGAATGGGATGGCGAAGGAGACATCTGGGAGTCCAGTCTGTCCCTCAAGTGTAGATGTTCTGGGGACTGGTGGTAGGTTAAGGGATGCCGGGGGCTGGGTGGGGCCACGGGAGGAACTTCCTCCTCCTCCTCCTCTCCTGAACATTTCTTGCCTACGTCACTGAGGTCTGGGTGAGGGTTGAACTTGGTGGGTAGGGTCTGTTCTCTGCAGCCCCCAGAGGAGAGGAGCTCTCTTTCTTTGGAGTTCCTCCACTTCATCCTCCTGTTCTGGAACCAGATCTTCACCTGAGATGGGGGGAAGCAACAAGAAATGAAAAGGTTCAGTAAAACAGGGACCAGGAGAAGCCTTTTGGTTGTGCCATCAAAACCCTGCTCGTGCCCATACTGAAGCTAACAGGGACCACAGAACCTGACCTTTGGGGGACCCTAGGAGAGGGGTTGGGGGGCAGTAAGGCCCTGGTCTGTCTAGTCCTACTTACCCAGCTGGGAATCGCGCTGCTCTCTTGGCTCCGTTGATGCTCACAGCCCTGTAGCTTGCTTCGGGTTTTCTCCAGGTCGTGGAGAAAGGTGCCCACTCTTTCGTGGGCAGTTCTGCCTGCTCCCGTCCCCTTTTCCTCCCCTACCCTCTGGCTGCCCCCAGGGGTGGGGGGCCCGGTTGCCCGCACCCCTCTGCCCTCCCTGCCCTGTGCCCCTTCTCACCTGCGAGTCCTTGAGGCCCAGCTTGGCCGCCAACTTCTTCCTATCGGGTTTGCTGATGTACTTCTGCTTCTGGAACATCTTCTCCAGCGCCTTGCGCTGCAC